CTGCATCAATCAGACCCTTGCATGTTGGGTTTCCTCTAGGTTTGTGGCCAGGTCCCCGTCCCCCCTATTACCGGGAGGAAGGCTTCTCGGTAGACTGGGGGACAACATTAGCGTCACTTCTGGTGCTGTGTGAGAGCCACCAGGTGGGCTCCTGTCAGGGCCTCGAGGTGCCCGGTGACTGCTTCGTGTGCACCTCTTCACCAGTTAGTGGAGACATCGCGTGCGCGTGCAAAGTTCAGCCCTGTCAGTGAGCAGTGCTGCGGTTCAGCCAGTCTGGGGGGTGTGCAGCCAACACCACAGCCCAAAAGGCCCTCTTGCCGGTTTCAGGCCTCCTCATCACCACAAGCCCCTGACCACCACGGGCCTGCTTCTATCCCTGTGGGTGTGCTTTTTCTAGAAAGTCCACACAACTGGAGTCACACACAGGTGGTCTGTCGTGATGAGCCTCTTTTGCTCCTGAGATTCGTCTGTGTGGTGGCGTGAATCAGGGCTTCATTTCCCTTTATGTCTGAGTAATACTCCATCACGCAGGTGGACCACATTCGGGTTACCCACCGTCCGTTGGTGGACACCGGGGCTGTTCCACTTACTAGTTATTGTGAGCAACGCTTTGGGGAACATTTCGGTGAACAACTTGCATCCTTGGGTTGATACCTAGGAGCAGAATTGCTGGGTCTGGTATTCTGAGTCTGTACTTAGTTTTGAAGAAATCAACAGCTTGCTTTCCATGGCACTGTGCCGTGCTCCCACCACAGCGGATGAGGTTCTGTCTTCTTCTCCTCATTAGCATTTGCGATTGTCCTTTTGATGCTTGCCATCCTCATGGGCGTGAGGGGACGCTCACTGTGGTCCCGTTTGCGTCTCACTGACGTGCACAGCGTTGGGTGTCTGCTCCATGCCTGTCCACGCATGTCCCTGTTTTCGTGTGTTTACTTTCTTAGATCCCTCGGAGCAAAGCTGCTGGCTCTGAGGTGGGGCTCTGCTCCTGCTCTGCCGCCGTACTCCTCTCAAGCAGCTGCCGCACAGCCCCCTGGCAGCATTGCCGCAGACCTGCCAGCACCTGCCGGCCCTGGCGGGCTTTGCTAGCTAGTGGTCACAAGGGAGACCTCGAGTTGTTTAGTTCAGAGCTCACCTTTTAAAACACTGTCAGAGTTACCTGTTCTTCATTGTGGAGCACCACACATTCATAAAATTGAAGCAGTGCAGAGTGAAGGTGTTTCTCTGTGGGAGTGGGGCTCTCACCCCCAACACCCCATGAGTCTGCAGACCTGGGGAGAGCCTGTGGGCTCCGCTGCAGCTGTTCTTCCGCGCTGGAGTCTTCTCTGGCCCAATGGGAGGCAGGATGGTGGCAGTTGGAGTTCTGTGGGGTTTGCCAGGGAGGTCCCTCTGAGAAGCCAGGTGTGCCAGGGAGAGCGTGGGTGTGCATGTGGGTGCGTGGTGTGGGCTGTGTGAGTGTGGAGTGTGGCTGGTGTGGATGTGAGTTTGGGTGGTGTAGGGGGGTTGTAGGGTGGTTTGAGTGCATGTGGCATCTGTGAGTGGAGGTGGTGTGAGTGTGCATGGCGGGGGTGGTGAGTGCATGATGGGGGTGGTGTGTGCATGGGGGGGATGGTG